CCTAAGCCCAAGAGCTGGAGGTTGCTGTGAGCTGTGATGCCACAGCATTCTACTGAGGGCAATAAACTGAGACTCTGTCTCTTTAAAAAAACAAAACAAAAAAACAACTGTAACTCTACACTCCTTGAATAACAACTACCAATTTCTCTCTACTGCAGCTCTGGGCAACTACCTTTCTACTTTTTCTTTCCATAATTTTGACTTTTCTAGATATCTCAAATAAGTGAAATCACACAATATTTGTCCTTTCATGACTTCCTTATTTCATTCAGCATAATGTCCTCGAAGTTCCTCCATGTTGTAGCATGCGTGGGACAGAACTTTCCTCATTTTCTAAGGCTAAATAATATTCCATTATATGTATAGGCCACATTTTCTTTATCCATTCATCCATTGGTGGACATTTGGGTTGCTTCCACTTTTGAGCTATTGTGAATAATGCTGCAATGAATACCAGTGAGTAAATATCTTTGAGATCCCAAGTTCAATTCTTTTGGATATATATCTCGAAGTGGGATTGCTGAATCATATGGTAATGCCACTTTTAGCTTTTTGAAGAGCCTTCATACTGTTTTTCATAGCAGCTGTACTATTTTACATTCCTCCCAGCAATGCACAAATGTCCCAATTCCTCTCCATCCTCACCAACACTTGTTATCGTCTGTGTATTTCTTTTTATAGTAGCCATCCTAACCGGTATGAGATGATAACTCACTGTGGTTTTGATTTGCATTTCTCTAATAATTAATGATGCTCGGCATCTTTTCCTGTGCCGTTGGCCATTTGAATATTTTCTTTGGAGAAATGTCTGCTCAGATTTTTTGCCTATTTTTTTAAAATTGAGTTACTTGTTTTACTGTTGTTGAGTTGTAGGAGCTCTTTGTACAGTCTGGATAGTGACTTTTTATTAGATAAGTGTTTTGCAATTATTCTTTCCCGTTCCGTAGGTTGCCTTTTCACTCTATTGTTTCCTTTATGTGCAGAAGTTATAAAATTTGATGTGGTTCCACTCCTATATTTTTGCTTTTGTTGCCTTGTGCTTTTGGTATCATATCCAAGAAATCCTTGCCAAATCCAATGTCATGAAGCTATGTTTTCTTCTAAGAGTTTTATACTTTTAGGTATTTAATCAAATTTGAGGAATTTTTTTTTGTATATAAGGGGCGAATTTCATTCCTCTGCATGTGGATATTTCATTTTCCCAGCACCATTTATTGAGGAGACACCTCTTTCCCCATTGTGTGATCTTGGTTCTTTTGTTGACCATAATGTGACCATACAGGGGAGGGTTTATTTTTGGACTCTCTATTCTGTTCCATTGGTCTATGTAGCAGTCTTTATGTCAGTACCATAGCTGCCACTTCTTTTTGGGGGTGGGTTGGGGGGGTGGGCAGAGTCTCACTTGGTCACTCTTGTAAGTGCCCTGGCGTCTTAGCTGACAGCAACCTCAAACTCTTGGGCTCAAGTAATTCTCTTGACTCAGCCTCTTGAGTAGCTGGGACTACAGGCGCCTGCCACAAAGCCCCAGTTTTTTATTTTTGTAAAGACAGGGGTGGGGGGGGTCTCACTCTGGCTCAGGCTGGTCTCAAACCTCTGAGCTCAGGGCAATCCACCTGCCTGGGGCTTTCCTGAGTGTTAGGATTACAGGCGTGAGCCACCATGCTGGGCCTATTTTTTATTTTATTTTATTTTATTTTATTTTTTGAGACAGAATCTCACTTTGTCACTTTTGCAGAGTGCTGTGGCGTCCCAGCTCACAGCAACCTCAAACTCTTGGGCCCAAGTGATTCTCTTGCCACAGCCTCCGAAGCCACCACAATACTCAGCTATTTTTAAAGACTGCGTCTCGCTCTTGCTCGGGCTGGTCTGGAAATCCTGAGCTCAAGCACCCAGCCGCCCAGGTCTCCCAGAGAGGTGGGATTACAGTAAGGTGACCAGATTTTAACTTTGGTAAAGCGGGACACCATTGGGGGGCGGGGCCTGGGGCGGGGCCTGACAATAATGCAAACTGATAAGCAGTTCTCAATAATCAGTTCTCAACAATGATTTGTTATTATTAAAGTTTAACATTATAAAATTAACAAAAATAATATAAAACGCATATCCTGGCGAAACAGCCACATGGCAGCCGAAAACCGTATATTCCCTTCCTGTTCTCCCATGTTCCTTAGCTTGTTGTGCATTCTTTCCAAAAATCGGGGCTTTTTAAAAATGCTGCAGGACTGACAAATTATTAAAAATCGGGACTGTCCCGCCAAAAGCGGGATGCCTGGTCACCTTACGGGGGGG